GTCACTGTTATCCCTATTTTACAGATGAGGAAAACGAAGCAGAGAGTTTACACAGCTGATGGTAGAAGAACCCAGAACCAAACTCAGGCAGTGTGCTCCACAATTCAGGCTCTTGTACATTACACTTTATAGCAGCATTGTTGAGAGAGGCAGGAGTTGCCAGGAGATGGTGCTGTATTGGAGTGAAGAAGGATGTATGCTAGCAGACATTTAACTAATAACATTTATTTAAGTACAGGCTAAATAAAGTGAAAAGTAGAAGAGCTAACTGAGCAGGACTAGAAAACTTTGCCCACTACTTAATTTCCGAAAATACTGTGGAGATGATTTGACCAGGGCACAGTCCTCCAGACAGTCTTGATCTAAGGATGATTATTCCCTTTGGGCTCTTGTGTGCATAATTTACTAGGTTCCAAATGCTATTTGGCTCCACAGAACAGAAATGATGGAGCGTGACTTAAACAAGTAAGACGCTCAGTTGCACAGGTCACAACGAGGGTGGGCCTGCCAGGATTAGAACCATTGTTCAAGGGAATGGGCTGCTTCCCTCTTCCTCCATGTGGCCTTCATCTTCAAGATTGTTAGATAAACCCTACCTTGGAGCACCCACCCAAGTTCTAGGCAGGGAGAAGGGGAAATGGCAAAGGGGAAAAGCTGAGTGGGCTCCATTTTTTCCAATCAGAAAAAAACTAGCTTTGCAGAACGAGTTCCATCCAGATCCGCTTCTAACTCATTAGTCAGAATGATGTCACATAATCACCTTTCACTGCAAAGGAGCCTGGGAAATTGAATTTTTATCTGGGCACATTGCCAGCCTGAACAAAACTGGGATTCTATTAAGTGAGGAGGAAGGAGAGAATAGGTATTGGGAAGGCAGTTGGGATGTCTTCCACAGTGGGGAAGAAATGTATCAGAGAGCACTGTATCAGACTCTCAAGTATCTAGTCAGCTGAAGATATAATCAAGTAGGAAATACAATCTTGCCAAAGAAGTATAGGATTATGAATCATTTACATAGCTAAATCTTTGAGGTCTCTGGTTAAAATCAGAATAAAATATGAGTACACCAATATTTTTGTGAGTACATATTATTCACATAAAACAGAAGGGTAGGGTTGGCTTCTCTTTAGCATCAACCCAAAATGAAAAGTCAAAATGTTACCAAGGGCATTAATGAAATGTAGTAACAATGACACTGTGACCAACACATACAGTCAGATAAGAGTTCAGGTGTCAGTCAAATTAAGCTGGCATGGAAATATAGATGAAGGTACCCCATTAAAAAAAAGCATTTTATAAATCTGTGGAAACTGAGAAAATATCCTATTTTGACATCAAATTCACAGCATTTAATGAATTAACCCTGGCTATTTCTGTGTGGGGCTAACAGATGCATATTTCTAACTATACGATCAACCAAAACTATTAAGCAGTGAAATTCCAGAATGCTGCTTTCTCACCGAACAATGAAAATCCCAGAAACAGATGCAGGCTACACTTCAGACTGTCAACTGACTACCTATATTCCCATGAAGTCCAAAAATGTGAATAGTAAATTTGCACCAGTTCACCAATTACAAAATTTGGTGAAATTTAATTAACTGATGGGAGTTCCTTTATTTGGTATATTCTTCACAGAGGAAATACATTCTGAGGAGTGTTAAGTTTTATTTGTTTTCATTTGAATGATTATTTCTTAATATAAGCATTTCTAGATCATCTTATAAGTGTGTTATTTCACTGTCTGAATTTAAGTTTCCAAACACGAAGGCACCAAGAAATGGCATTTTCATTGTCTCAAGTTACTGATACCCGAAGCAAGTTGGACGTCACGTGTAAATGATGCCCTGACGTGGCATGTAGACCAAAGGTAGCTGGATGTGAGCATGCAAAAGAATCGCAGAAATCTTACAGAGAAAAGGGATGGGGGATGGAGTCAGCCCTTGGCTTGTAAGGGTAGGCGCGCAAACTCAAATGAACCTGCCGTGGAGCAGCCACCACCATATTAATGATTTGTGTAAGAGTTTAGATTTTAAAACACATTATTGGCCACATTAAATTAATGTTGTTCATTTGAATGTAATGGTTTTGCTGTTTTGTTTGTATTTAATTTGTAAAGATGTTTGGTTTTATGGTTGTATAATGGCTGTAAACAGAAGGAGTTTAGCCCTATTTTATTTTTATACATATTTAAGTAACATTATAATCAAAACTATTTAATTCTGTACTGCAGTATCAAGAGATTGTCCTTTAAAAAAGAGTCTCTATTACTACTTAAGTCTGAGAGCCACTTTTCCACCACTTTCTCTCTGACAGAAAAAGACAATGGAGGTGATACCGTTATTTCCAAGTCAAATTCATATTCGGTGACAGGTTGGTAAAGAAGTACTTTACAGGTGTGATAACTCCCAACTTTTTCTATTACTAATGTCATTGTTTGGTGGACATCCTGTTCTCTGTAAAAATGAGAATTACAGAAAACTAAAAAGTTCCTGTGATCCTTTTTAAAGAAAAAATAAAGTCTCTCTCTCTCGAGTTGGCAGTGCCTTAGAAATCCTCTAGTCCAATCACCCTTTGGGGGCACAAATGCATAGAACTTGAGGTCCCCAGTGGTACACAGCTGTCTAGGCCATGCCTGAGTGAGGCTGAGGGGGCCTTTTGAATACAGCAATGTCTATGATGTGATTTTTTGAGCTGTTCACTGCCTGGTATGACTCATCCCCAAGACAAAAGTCTCCGTTGAAACGTCTTGCCGAGTGGCTTTTTGATAGAAATGAGTTCAGGAGGCTGAGTTTCAGTGTGGGGTCAGCCGGGTGCAGAGCTGAAACTACAGGCAGGGACGCTGGAGCCCAGGAGCAGATGGTGCTCTGAGCACTTACATCCTTTTGAAAATTTGCAGAAACTGTCAGGGGAGATTTAGACTCTTACGGGGCACCGGGTTTTCAACTGGGGTTTAAACAACCACTTCTGGCCTTCAAGGGTTGGAGAGGTCCCTCTGGACTCCCATCTCTCATGTCAGCTGGGACTTCGAAGCCCCTACAAGCACATGCACTACTTACTAGATTTCCAAACTAGATGTGGGAGGTGCTGGGAATGATTAATATTTTTATCAATGATCAATACAACATTAATTTTCTTTTAGTTCTTCCAAAAGTTACTAATGGGCAATGCCAATGTTTCTGCTGTCCTTTCTCCCAAAAAAACCACTTTCAATGGGACAGTCATGGCCTTGAAGTGCTATGTGACCTTCTACAAGCAGCTTTCACAAGTAGAGCAAAAACCAAGTAAGAAGTTTCTTATGAAAATGTCACTGTTACTGATAATGACCTTATTCTTTGAGTCCTGACACATCAATGTTGGTTAACAAGCACTTTGAACTTTCTAGGTGATCACACCAAAGGGGTTTAAATAAACCATAACCCTTCTAATGTTAACTTAACATTACTTAACTCATTACAGTCAACATCAAATAGATTTTCATAAAATAAAGAAAACCTAAAACCAAGCAAAAAAGAGGAAGAGAGAAAGAAAAGAAAGAAAAAGAAAAGAGAGAAAAGAAAAGAGAAAGAGAAAGAAA